AGGATTAGGGTTAAGTTAAGGGTTAGGGTTAGGTTTATGGTTAAGTTAAGGGTTAGGATTAGGTTTAGGTTTAGGTTAAGGGTAAGGTTAAGGGTTAGGATTAGGTTTAGGGGGGGTTAGGTTTAGGTGTTAATTTTAGGTTTAGCTTTACAGCGTGCTTCTGTCTCCGCGCTGTCGCCGCCCTGTTGATGACGTCAGCTACGCGGTTTCGTCAAACGCGGTTTCGTCGAGCGCGGTTTAGTTGAATGCGGTTTTGTGGTGGAACCCGTTGAAATAAAGGCAATGCCCATTTGGATCAGAAACCTTGTTTACCAAAACATTTATATTATGGCCTGCGTTCGTGAAGATGTAAACAGTCCTTGAGAGAACTGACCACAGACTATCCCAATTTTCTTTGGTGGACAAGGTCTTCCCCAATTTTGCGGGGCAGTCCTATTCATTGCGGAGAGCACTGAATACCATACAGAGATTCTCTTAACTCTCCAATCTACACATTCTAATTTCCACCAGGCAGAGTAGGCCAGTCATTATAACAATGCAAGAAAGTACTACGCTAAGCCGGATGCTCCTTCCTGTTACATTTGGGGAAGCTTCTGTAAGCTTCAAATGTATGAACTAGGGAAGAACGCAGTATAATTAGTTGAAGGAAATCCAGGAGCCAAATTTTAACAATCCTACACTGAAGCAGCAGATACCAAGTAACATTTTGTACATCACATAAAACTGTAGATATGATTGAAATAGTTTGCTATCTAATGATAAGTTCCATAACCACAAATGCCAAGCATTTTATGCTTTTTAACAAAATGAGAGATATAGTTTTAGATGACAATCGGTTCAATTATAATGCATCATAGGACCAACCACTCATTCATGTAAGGTTAGAGGTATACATGTATAACATATGCAGCACACACACACAAGAGAAATAATTAATAGTAGGAGAGATAATTGTGATGCACAATTTTCCTGCCCAGGGATCTCAACCCAACTGTGGGCAGCCATAGGGATCGATGGAAATTCCCTTTGGTCTTAACACATTCCTCTCAATAAAGATACAGTTTCATCGTATTTTAAAAATATGTTTAGCTTTTATATATTTTCAAGAATTATTCAAAAGAATAATTTATTAATAGGTTTAGAGGGCATATAGAAGTCACTTAAAAATATTGTGAAGAATCATTTCATCCTATTATTAGACAGTAGCTATGTATTTTAGACATATCTGCTTGCAGAATAATTCTAAGAAGAAATTTGCTTTTAGTTCTAACCCTGTTTTTTTTTAAAATCTAAAACCCAATTTATATCTTAAGAATTAAATATTTAAGGCTACAAAGCTGTTCAAATTTATATTTTACTGATCAATGTATGAACCAAAAAAAAAAAAATGCCAGTGGAAATGAGATGTTTATTCATCGAAAGCTGAATTGAGCCATAATTCAGACATTCTCTTCATGATATTTAGGTATTTAACCATCTCTGGGTTAAAAATATTTGCACCAGTTTCAAAGTTGATATACCATAATTTCCCAGATTAGAGCCTTTGGGGACTATAGACATTAAACGTATTTAAAATCCTAATTCAAAAAGAAAATACGAATGCTTGAACAATCTGATACAGAACTCAGGCCTTTGGAAAGGAATGACAGATTTAATATATCTGTAATGATTCTAACGGAAAATGCAGCCTATCTATTTGGTTCAAAACCAATCAAATTGACACGGCTCTCTGATGCTTCATCACTTCTCAGATACTTAACCAAAGGCCCTTGAGAACGTGGCACGACAAAACCGCGCCCGACTAAGCCGCGCCCGATTAAACCGCGTCGCTGACGTCATCAACAGGGCGACAACAGGGGGCGCGGAGAAAGAGGGGCGCTTTAAATGGCGCTTTGAAAGCAAGCCGATTCAACTT